AATCCATTCGTCAGTGGTGGGGCATCTTGACTGTTTCCATAACTTGGCTATTGTGAATAGTGCCACAATAAACATGGGTGTGCAGGTGCCTCTGGACACACAAAGTCTTTAGTCAGTAATGTTGTTTTAACATTTGTCTGCAATATGCTCTGTGGTTCTTTTATTCCCACTAGAGTTAGTAAGGAAATGAGTTAGGCACAAGCTTAGGTCACCCTGCCTTATTTTCTAAAGGCCTTGACTATCCAAAGAATTTAGAAGGAACCATGGTATTTTTTAATGATTTATTATGACCTTTTACATGTAACTACTATTCCTGCAAAAATGATTCAAAGAACTATTCTTATGAATTGTTGAGAAATAAGCAATACGTGTCCTTTAACACTTGTAATTAATCCCAGCACTTGAGAGGCTGAAGCAGGAGGATCAAGAGTTCTAGGCCACTCTTGGCTACATAGCATGACCCTGTCTCAAAAATAAGTATTTAAAAAGAAAGCAAAAACAAGCCAGGCGCTGGTGGCTCACACCTATAATCCTAGCTACTTGGAGGCTGAGATCAGGAGGATAGAAGCTCAAGACCAATCCAGGCAAATACTTTGAGAGACACCCATCTCCAAAATAAGTATAGCAAAATGGACTGGAGGTGTGGCTCAAGTGGGTAGGAGTACCTGCTTTGCAAGTGGGAAGCTCTCCTTGGTAACCACTGGGCTCAACTCTTGACTCTGAAACTTAGAGAAATACATTAGGCATTTATTCTGCCTTTTTATCAACTGTATTTCATGGTAATCAGATAGCTCTAATTGATAAAGTTATTCTCTACAGAAGAATTCTAGTACATGTAAAAAATGGTATGATTAGATAATCAACATTTTTTAACTCTTAAAATAATTGATTAAAAGGTTGATGGCAATTTGGCAGTAGTGGGATTCAGTGGTTGTTATTACCATCACTAAAAGTATAATAGGCAAACTCTGAGGCTCCTGGCATGACACCACAGCAGTGTGTGCATGAATATGAACAGAGGGAAAACAGACTTGGGACTTGCTAAAGATATATCATAAAAAAGGGAGGGCATGAGATGAGATAACAGTGGTAAAGTCTTGATAGTTTTAGATCAGGGTGATGGATATCTGGGGGTTCATTATACTGTTCTCTCTTTTGTGTATTTTTATTATAGAAAAATTTTAAATCAAATTGGAATTGTAAGGATGAACAAACTGAAAATAAATTCATGTTTTATCTTTTCTACAACCAAAATCAGTTTGTCTATTTCATAATGTTATAAAGTTGTCTTCCCCATACTGTGAGACTCGATCTGTAAAATTATAAAATTAAATATTATGTCCCTTTGACAGATCTTTCCCTAGACCATTCTGACCTAGTTGCAGAGTTGTTGAAGGAGCTGTCTAACCATAATGAACGTGTAGAAGAAAGAAAAATCGCCCTCTATGAACTCATGAAACTGACACAGGAAGAATCTTTCAGTGTTTGGGATGAACACTTCAAAACAATATTGCTTTTATTGCTTGAGACCCTTGGGGATAAAGAGGTAAACGGCAGAATATGTAAACCATAGTCCTGCCTGTTTCATTTTACTTATTTTGTTTGTTTAGTCATTTATTTACTTTGTGGTTCTTGAAATTAAACCCAGGACTCCCAGGTGCTAGACAAGCACTTCGTTACTGATCTTTACTTTTAGCCCCTGCCTGTCTTCTTAGATTGCCTATCAATCAGGTACTACACGTATTTGGATACTGGGAAGAAGAATCTACTGTGCTGCAGTTCTCTGCATGAAATTTTCATAATAAAGTACTTTTTCTTCCAAACCAAGTCGCTCAACAATTTTGAACACTTGACAACAGTAAAAATGAAAGGTTGTATGCTGATTCTTATAAGAAAGGTCAGGGGTTTTTTGCATATTTAAATTAGTTATTTAGGACTAAAACTTCCTCTTATAGTCAAAATATTTCTTGATTTGTTGCAAATTTTAAATGTAAAAGTTTTCAAGCTAAAATGTTAAAATTATATAATATACTACATACTTAATGCAACTGCATTATGTTTCCCTCCTCCCAATAAAGAAATTGAAAATGTTAAAAATTATGTACCACCCAAAATACTAAAACATTTAAATATTTCTTTTTAGCCTACAATCAGGGCTTTGGCATTAAAGGTTTTAAAAGAAATCCTAAGGCATCAACCAGCAAGGTTTAAAAACTATGCAGAACTGACTGTGATGAAAACACTGGAAGCACATAAAGACCCTCATAAGGAGGTAAGTTTCCTGACAGTTATACTACTATATTATTCTCATTATTTCATTATATGAACCATGGAAACATTGTGTAAAGTACACTTACTAATAATTTTACATGAGCCATGGTGATGCTGTAACTTTGACCTAAAATGTTTTATGTATGAATTAGTTAGCTTTTCTTCACTGTGACAAAAATACCTGAGAAAAACATCTTAAAGGGGGAAATTTATTTTGGTTTATGGTTCCAAAGATTCAGTTCATGGACATTTGCCCCCGTGGCCTTGGGCAAAAGATCATGGTAGCAAGGGTATGTGGCAGAAAAAAACTGTTCACATTGTGATAGGCAGGAAGCAGATTCAGAAAGGGACCAGGAAGAAGATACCCCAAGGATCCACCTCCATTGACCTCTTTCTTGCAGGTTGGCCCCATCTCCTAAAGTTTCCACAACCTACCAAAATAGTGTCACCAACTGGGACCAAAGCTACAACATGACACTGTGGAAGACATTTCATATTCAAACCATACCAATCTAATTTCATTTTGTTTTTAGTTTTCTAGTTAGAGTTCACCAATCTTACTTTCTATTTGGCAGTAAGAACTATTTTTTTTAATGTAACAAATGAAAGTAAGATCATTGTTACTTTTCAGTGATAAATTACAAAAACTATACATATATACACATATATATTTAAGTTTATATATGTATATCTATATCATATATACATTACAAGCTTATTCAATAAAGTAGTGAAAACAGCTTTCATAGAAGAGCTCCGTAAATCATTTTTCTCAATTTATAGTCATGTTACTTCCCATTGGTAACACTGATTAGATTACCAATAGGCTTTTTACCGTGGTCTCAGAAATAATTAGAAAACTTCAAACAGGAACTACATTTCTAAGAGAAAACACTTGCCTGATGGCATTAGGTATCCTTGGAAGAACCGAAACAGTCAAAAAATCTAAAATGGCCAGGTGCCATTTATACAGTGACTCACACCTGTAATCCTAGCTACTCAGGAGGCAGAGATCAGGAGGATCACAGTTCAAACCCAGCCCTGGCAAATAGTTCTCAAGACTCTGTCTCAAAAAAAAAATTTTCACAAAAAAAGGCTGGTGGAGTGGCTCAAGGTGTAGACCCTGAGTTCAAATCCCAGTACCACAAAAAAAAAAAAAAGGCAAAATGGATCAAACCCAATTGTAAAAAGCTAAAACTATAAAACTCTGAGAAAGCAGAGGTGTAAATTTTTGTTACATTGGATTTATGCAGCATTTTTTTTTGGTAGAACTGGGATTTGAACTCAGGACTTTGCACTTGCAAACCAGGCACACTACTGCTTGAGTCACACTTCCAGTCCATTTTGCTCTAGTTATTTTGGAGATGTGGTCTCTAGAACTGTTTGCCCAAGCTGGCCTCAAACCTGTATCCTCCCAGTCTAAGCCTCCCAGATAGCTAGGTGTGAGCCACTGGTGCCCAGCTCAGTCCTAGTTTTTTAATATAATTCCAAAAGCAGAAGCAACCACTGAAAAAAACATAAATTGGGCTTTATCAAAATTAAAAACTTTTGTACTTCATAAAATACCATGAGGGAGTGGTGGAGTGGCTCAAGTGGTTGAGTGCCTGCCAAGCAAGGGTGAGGCCCTGAGTTCAAACTCCATACCAACAATTCACTGGAGAAATTTTTACAGAATACGTATCTTTTTTGGGGAGGAATGGTGGGTCATGGATGCTAGGAATTGGACCCAGGGCTTTGTGCATGCTAGGCACAGAGTGCTCTGCCACTTGAGCTGTGTCCCCAGCCCTTTTGGGGTTTTTTTTGTTGTTGTTTTGAGACAGAATCTTAATGCTGCCTTTGCCCAGACTGGCCTCAAACTCATGATCCTTCTGCCTCCACCTCCACCTCCCTGGAATTTTAGGCATGGGTCACCAACCTGACTAGGGTCACATATCTCATTAGTCAGTAGGATAATGCAGCTAACCCATGAGATGCCAATTAATACTTACAAGGAAGATAAGCAATAAGAAATGTTGAGGAGGATGTGGAGAAATTGAAACCCTCAGGTTTTAGTTGGTGAATGTTTTAGGAGAGTGGATTATAACTTTTAAATCTATCTGCACTTATATACCATTTTTACTATATCAATAGCATTTCTCTGAAAGAATAAAAAATAGTATCTGGTATTTGTGGTTATCTACATTCTGACCCAAAATACACCTGTAATATCCCTATTTTTTACAAAATATAAAATTGACATTCTAAAGGTGTTGCAGCTGAAATGAGCCCTGGTTTCTGATTTTTAGTGTATTTTATACTGTACCTTTCTAAGCACCTTCTACTGATTGAAATTATAAGGCACTACCAAAGAATCACCAACGGCAGTTTTTTGTCTGTATTTGCAGTACTGGGTTTTGAACTCAGAGTCTTACACTTGCTAGGCAAGTGCTCTGCCACTTGAGCCATTCTGCCAGCCCAGTTTTGTGTTGGGTATTTCCAACACAAACTATTTCCCCAGGCTGGCTTCAAACCTCTATCCTCCCAAGTAGCTACAATTATAGGCGTGAGCCACCAGCACCCTACAGCGTTTGCTTTTAAGACCATCTTTAGAGGGTACACATTCTAATAGGCAGCCATTTCTTTTCAATGCCAAGGAAAGAAAGTCATTGTGAAAGGAGAGGGGAATGGCAGGTTAAGTTTGGATAACACAGTAGTGAGATCTTTATTTTATTTCATATTAAGGTGGTACAAGCCCTCCTGCAGTTGAGGTACTAATAGCCTAATGCATGGACTCCATTCACATTGCATTCCAGGTGAATTGAGCCTCCACACTCCAGCACAACTAGACCACAGTTTGATTTAAAAGCTTTTAGACCGGGCACCGGTGGCCCATGCCTATAATCCTAGCTGCTCAGGCAGAGTCTGGAGGTTCGCAGTTCAAAGCCAGCCCAGGCAAATAGTTCGTGAGACCTTATCTCAAAAAATACCCAACAACAAAGAAAGGGGCTGAGTTCAAACCCCAGTACCACCAAAAAAAAAAAAACTACTTTAGGAGCTAGGGGTGTAGCTCAGTGGAAGAGCACCTGCATCAGATGGAAGAGGCCCTGAACTGGATCACTGGCACTGGACAACATGTCTCAAAAAAGTAAAAATCTAAAAACTACTTTAGCCAATAGTAAACACAAAAGAAAAGAGAATGGCTTTTCTATGTAGTTACTTCTGTCACAGCACTGCCATGATGCTCTGTGGAAGGACAAAAGGAATTCTTTCCACAGAGAACTTGTGGAATTATGCTTGAGAGTCCTGTGGACTCAGGCCACCCCAGTTATCTGGCCCTGCACTACTTCTGTCTACCATGCAATGAGAGCTCCCTGCTTTTTAATTATTTTTAGGGGCGAGCACTATGTGATTCTCTGGCTCCAAGTTCTTAAAAATTAACTTTTGGCTTTCTTTCATACTTCTCTAAACCACTGAGAACTACAGAGTTGGTTTGCTACTAGAGTTGGTTTGGCCCTACCTGCCCATATTTTGGGGTTAACTGGGATATCATTCCCTAATTTTGCTAAAGACTTTTTTCATGCTTTTTGGATGCAATCCTAGGTGCTCAGTGAGTGACTTTTTTGGTGAAAAAGTTTAGAGATATATCTAATATATTGCTGTTGTGTTGCCTTCTCTTGTTCCTATTTACCCTAATTTTAACAGTTTACAGCAAGATAAAAACAAAACCAAAATTCAAATTCCTCAGAGTTCTTGCACTTTTCTGACAGATTTCTAATAATCATGTATACAGTAATATTTTGCACCAAGCTAATCAAAGGAAATAAGAAATTTATAGGCACTTAAAACAAGGGCTCTTTGTTAGTATGTTCTTACTCTAAGTTATTCATCCAGCAAACATTTATTCAGTATTCATAATATGTAGTTAAAGGTCCATAGTTCATCTTCTGGCTTCAGTGGTACCTGACATTTGCAAATGTGTTTTATCTTTACCCTCACTTTTGTTATCTATTTACTGCAGTATTTTCAAAAGAAATCCCAAATATCATATTAAATGCTTCATGCTTCTGAGACAGAATGTGCAATTTTACAGTCTTCCTGGCTTACTTTCCTGCTTGTTGTAGGTGGTCAGGTCTGCTGAGGAAGCTGCGTCAGTGCTGGCCACTTCAATTAGTCCAGAGCAGTGCATCAAAGTGCTTTGCCCTATCATACAGACTGCAGACTACCCAATTAATCTGGCTGCAATCAAAATGCAAACAAAAGTGATAGAGAGAGTATCCAAGGAAACCCTTAACCTGCTTTTGCCAGAGATTATGCCAGGCCTAATACAGGTAAGCAGCAAAGCTGAGAGAAATAAACTGTGATACATTGGGAGCTGACTTGGTGTGCGCACAGGGGCGGGTACTGTAGTATAGTATATGTAGCATAAAAGCTACTACTTAACAACTTGTAAGTACACAATTTAGTTGAATTAAATACATTCACAGTGTAGTAATTTATAGTCGATAGATGTCATGTTTTTGTCTAGCCACATAAACCCATGCATATAGCTATTTTAGCAACGGTAGTATTACATTTTGTAACATACTTTAACTTAATCATATATTGCGAACTTTTTCCATCTAATAAGTGATATTCTACAATATAATTTTAATGACTGGTCAATATTTCATAGTGTACACATTAGTACCCCTCCTAAAGAGAATGAATCATTCATATCTTTGTACATCTACAGTATTTCATTTATGACTTTTTATATCTGTGTTTTTCTCCCTAGGGTTATGATAATTCAGAGAGCAGCGTTCGAAAAGCTTGTGTCTTCTGTCTGGTAGCTGTTCATGCAGTAATTGGTGATGAACTAAAACCCCATCTCAGTCAACTCACTGGCAGTAAAGTAAGTAATGCTGCATGGTTATAGAGATAGTAGTCATGGTACTTTAAAACTTAGTTCTGGGGTTAGAGGCATGGCTCAAGTGGTAGAGCACCTGCCTAGCAAGTGCAAGGCCCTGAGTTCAAGTCCCAGTACAAAAAAAAACCAAAAAGGCAAGGCACAGTGGCTAAGCCTGTAATTCTGGGTACTTGGGAAGTAGGGTTTAAGAGAGTCATGATTCAAGGCCACCCTAGGCAAAAAGTTCTCCAGACCCCCATCTCTACCAGTGGCTGGGTGGAGTAGTGCGTGCATGTCATTCCAGCCATGCACAGAAGCACAAATAGAAGGATCACAGTCCATGCTAGCCTGGCATAAAGCAAGACCCTATTTCAAAGATAACCAACACAGCACAGAGGCATGGCTCAAGTGGTAGAATTCTTGTCTACCAAGAATGAGGCCCTGAGTTCAAACCCCAGTACCACCAATAAATAAGTAATACAATAGCCTAGCAAGCACAAGACCCTGAGTTCAAACCCTAGTATCAAAAAAAAAAAAAGTGTGTGGTTATATATCATAATTATATCTCCCAAAATGTGGAACTATGATAACCAAATATTTGTTCTCCTTTCTATTATGATAACCCAGATTATTATATAACTTTGACTTGGTACTTTTTTGTTTGTTTTAGGTTTTGGGGGGGGGGGTCTTAGCAGTACTGGAGTTCAAACTCAGAGCCTCATGCTTGTTAGGAACGTGCCCTACTGCTTAAGTCAGTCTGCCAGACTGCACTTTATTATTTTTTTTTTAAGTCTTAGAAATTTTTATTTTAAGATACCAAGTCTCGGGGCTGGCAGACTGGCTCAAGCAGTAGGGCACCTTCCTAGCAAGCATGAGGCCCTGAGTTCAAACCCCAGTACTGCCAAAAAAAAAAAAAAGGATTTTGCCAAAATCATAACAATTGTCATTACTGTGGTCAAATTTATTTTTTAAAAAGGAACAAGATAAGATTAAAAAAAAATACATGTTAAGGTGAATTAGCTGAGGTACACATTTCATATTAAGTACTTCTATAAGTTATAGATTAAGGCAATGATGCTTACCCCTTTTAAGAACAAACCATTTAGAGATTTAGGTAGAATTTCATCCCAAGGAAAAAAATAATTGTGCATATAGTTTCAGAGAGTTCAGTGATCCCCTGAATCCCATAGGCACCAAGTTAAAAACTCTTGGATGAAAGGATTATCATTGGGCTGTAGATGTAATTTAGTGGAGAGTGCATGCCTAACATGCACCAAGCCCTGGGTTCAATCCCTAACACTGCAAGCAAATTTTAAAATTAAAGAGTTAACATTAAAAAAGCAAACTTTGAACAATTAGAATTCAGCACTTTATCTGGATACTAGGTAGTCAGTAATGTTACATGTGAAGAGAGTAGGTAGGTAGAAAACATTTTCAAATAACAGTAGATGGAAAAGGTAGAATTTAGAATTGAATATGCATGCATTGATTACAAACTTTATAAAACGTGATCTCATACAGGTCAAGCCTACAAAATGACAGAAAACCAGAAGATGTTCTGGTTAGGATGTTAGTGGCATAGTGGCCTATGATCTTGGATCCTGGAACCAAGCACCTGAGTTCCTGTTCCTGTCCTGGGTCTTCTCACCCACCCCTGTGACCTTAGGCAGTGACCCAACCACTCTGTCAATTGTGTCACATGAAAATAAAGAAATGGGGGAGTAGGTGTTTAATGCAATTCCCATCAAAATTCCAATGACATTCATCAAAGAGATTGAAAAATCTACTGTTAAATTTATATGGAAA